TAAAAATCTATAATAACATATTTGAATTAAGAAAAATAAAGTGAGAGAGAGAAAATATGGAACTTGATTATCAAAAAAAAAATATATATATATATATATATATATAAGGGAGGGGAGGAAAAAATTTTCAGTTACTTTATTTCATAAGGAGCGAATAAAGACATTATTCTTCTATTCCCCTCCCCCTTTTCATCTCAACCTAAACACACTATTCTTGACTGAACTGATTTTGGACCTGTAACTAAAATTTTATGTTATTTTGCCATCCAGATCCACAATGACAAGAAATGGAGTTTGGAAAAACGCTCACAATTCCTTCAATGGGAAAATAGCAGATTTGGTCCCTCAGCTTTTATATCTCATAACTTAACATTCATCATTTAGATCCCAAAAGGAACTATTGTTCTGGTAATTTAGTCTCTTAATTTTTAAAAAAAATTAATTACAAAACTACACGTCTTATAATATAAAATTATGTATATAATCATATAAATATAAATTAATTACTCTTTTTTGATAAATACCACAAGTTGGATTTCAATAAAAAAAAGATAGATGTGACTAAACGAAATCTTATATTTTATTAAATATAATATTTTTTAACATATTAAGTGATTTATCGCATGGTGCTGACATCACCAATAATGTGTCGACACTATGCTCGTGTCGGGTTTCTGGTCCATTTTTGCAATTTCTTCAATGATAAAATAACAGATCTAGTCCTCCAGCTTTTATATCCCATAACCTAAGAGTCATTCATTTAGGTCCAAAAGGAACCATTCTTCTTTTACTTCAATCCCTCAACTTTCAAAAAATATTTAATTAGTCACAAAACTCTTTTTATTATGCATTTAAATCCTTTTTGCACGAAGAATTAAAACTTTTTAAATTTTTAAATAAAAAATATTAAAAATTGACATATTTATTTAAAAATCGATAGAGTTAACATCATTTAATAAAAAAAAAAATCAATTCTCATTCTAACAGCTTTTTCCATTAACTTCACTAGGGAATCGTAAGCATTCTGATAAATAAGAATTAGAGGCACCAGAATGCTAAGGAACCCCTGAAATATAAAATTG